GGAACGTCAGGAGGAGGCATCGGCAGATCTGTAGACGGTATTAACTGCTCCTGATCCCTTTGTATGAAGCGTTTTAACCGTTGCACATGCACAATCTCCGGAGGATCGGCTTGCTGAACGTCATGCCGAACCTCATAAACTTGTGGTCCAACTTGCCGCAACACCTAATACGGTCCTTTCCACTGCGCAAGGAGCCCCTTAGATAAACCACGTACCGTAAGATGGGGAAAACGGACTAACACCAAATCATCCACTTTGTACTCCGCAGATGGACGATGATGGGAATTGTAGCGCCGTTGTTGTCCCACTTGTACGCGGCCTAAGTGTTCAGCAGACTCTGCTCGGACAAGTGGAAGAATGCTTGTCAAATATTGATCCCATGACCTAGCATCAGGAGCTCGTGGCAATCGCGAAGGTAAACCCAGCTCTGTTGGTAATATTGGATCATGACCATATAGAAGTTTATATGGTGAAGCACCAACAGAACTCTGCACCCCTGTGACATAGGCATACCGAAGAGACGGCAAATAATCATCCCAATCCGAATGCTGAAAGTTCACATACTTCGCAATCATCCCTTTGAATGTCCGAACAAGCCGTTCTACCAGACCGTCTGATTGTGGATGATAAGCACTCGTAAAAGTGTGGTGTATCCCCAACTGAGATGTCAAAACATGAAATACCTCAGCCATAAATGCAGGACCATTATCCGAAAGAATCCGCTCTGGACAAGAATGCTGGAACACCACTCGATTGAGGAGGAAGTATCCAACAGCAGTTGCAGAGGCACTAGCAAGAGCACCAACTTCCACCCAACGAGTCAAGTAGTCAGAAGCAATAATAACATACTCATTGCCAACAGTCGATCGTGGAAAAGGTCCCATAAGATCAAACGCCACCAACTCAAACGGACGGGAAACTGCAATTGACTCCAACCGTCCTTCCGCAGCACAAGGAGGAGTATTACGAGCTTGGCACCAAACGCAGCTACGCACATACCGGATAATATCATGTCGCATCTCTGGCCAATAGAAAGACCTGCGCAGCTTCTCGGTGACACGACGGTGTCCCATATGCCCACCTAGAATAGAAGAATCATGGTAGGCATGGAGAAACCATGGAATAAACACCAAAGGCACCACCAGCCGTAAATGATCATCAGGATCCGTCCCCACAAAATAAAGAAGGCCATCTTCAAGGCGATATTGAGAATGTAAATGCCGAAAAGGCAAGTCATCAGCAAGTGATGCAGGATTCTCAAACCCATCTCGAAACCTTCGAATCCACGGCTCAATCTTTTGAGCCGCGCGAACCTCATCAAGAGAAGGTAGATCTTGCTCTGCGCCCTGTGGACACTGAACGTCAAGGACAGCAACCGCCGACGGCACAGAATCCTCATCTAGAAAATCCACAGATGCTGGAACAACAAGTTCGTCAGAAACATGAGAAAGGAGTGGAGAAGGAAGAGGAGCTCGAGAAAGGGCATCAGCATCAGCCATAGAACTCCCTGGGCGATGAACAACATCGAAATCATATATCTGAAGCTTCAAAGCCCATCGAGCCGTACGACCAACCAGGTTCTTCCGCTTCAATAATGAAGTAACAGCAGCATGGTCACCTTCAAGTAACGTCCGAGAACCATGTAGATATGCATGAAGTTTCTCGAAACCCCAGACTGCTGCTAAACACTCCTTCTCCGTCGTGGAGTAGTTCATCTCCGCTGGTTGTAATGTACGGCTTATGTATGCAATGGGATGGCGTTGACCAGGCACACTCGAGCTCTCTTGCATCAACACACCTCCAAGACCAATGTCAGAAGCATCCACGCGCAAAATAAAAGGTCGAGTGTAGTTAGGATATGCCAAAACTGGAGGAGTCGTCAACAGCTCTTTGAGATTCACGAACGTTCGCTCACAATCCGGAGACCAGATGAAAGATGACGTTGATGACTTCAGCTCGCAATGGTGTAGTGCGATCGGAAAGATGATCCACAAAACGACCGAGATACTGCACCTTACCCAAAAAGCACTGCACATCATTCACACACTTCGGAGTAGGGAACTTTAGAACAGCCACAAGTTTGTCAGGATCAACTTGCAAACCCTCACGAGAAATACGGTACCCAAGATAAGTTGTGTCCTTGGACCCAAACACGCACTTTGACCGCTTCAACTTTAAACCAACGTCGCGTAGCCGATCCAATACTTTACAAACATCACGAACGTGCTCCTCCCACGTCCCCTCCGAGTGGATCAAGACATCATCAATGAAGTCAGCCGTCACCTCCAGCATATCGCAAAGAACTTCGTCCATCATCCGCTGAAAAGTTGCTGGAGCATTGTTCAAACCAAACGGCATCACCAAGAACTCGTACAAACCAAATGGTGTACGAAAAACAGTCTTAGGAATATCTTCTTTGGCCATCGATACTTGCCAATACCCAGAAGCAAGATCTAGCTTGGTGAACCAACGACTTCACCCCAAACGATCCAAGAGATCAGCAGTGTGAGGAAGAGGGTACACATCCGGGATTGTCACTTCATTTAACGGACGATAGTCGATGCAGAAACGAATACTCCCATCAGGCTTCATCACAAGATGAGGTTCACATGCCCAAGGACTCCGCGACTTCCGAATAACACCCTTCTCCAACATCTCCTTGACGTTTGCACGTAAAATTTTGATCTCCTTGGGTGACCGACGACAAACAGGAACCTTGATTGGACGAGCATCCCCGGTTGGAATGGGATGACGTGTGGCAATCTTGGCCCCAGACGATAGGTCAAATTCAAAGAGATCAGAATACTCCTTCATGAGCTGGTCAACAGCTGCAACACAAAGATCATCGTAGGGATCGGAAAAGGGAAGAGCAGAACAAGATGGAAACACAAGAGGAAATAGTGGAGGAACAAAAGTAATGGAAGCAGAGGTAGAAATAGAGGGACGAAGAGGTATGGAAGTGAGAGGAATGGATGAAACATAAGGAAGTATGAGACAAGGGGGAGAAGCTTCAAAGTCACACTTGGCATGATTGCACTACAACCAATCCATACCAAGAATGAGGTCAAAAGCTTGACTCGGCACCACCCGCAACGACTGCAACTCAAGCTCGAGATTGCCCACACGCACAACCAGGTCTGCCTCATCTTGTGCACATGCATGTGTACGGCCGTTGCCATAAAGAATGAAGACTGGATCCGCCGCACGACGCAAGTGTAGACGACAATGTGTGGCAACAGGTCGAGCAATAGAAGATAAACTCGAACCTGTATCAACCAACACGGAGAGAAGAATAGGAGACCTCTTGTTATAAAAACGAGCTTAGAAAGTAAACACTGGATGAACCGGTGCCGAGTGAACCCCTTGATGATACTCCCGAAAGAAAGATGGAGGGGTCACTAACTTATTCGCGCAAGGTCCCTCCATTACTCGCGCGACTCCTCGTTTCCCGAATGCACCTCGGTATCCAAACCTTCCACCGCAGCAGCACCAACGGGACGTTGCTAACGCCAAGGTCTCCACCCAGGAAATGGAGGTCGCCAATCCGGAAAGCGCCGATAACGCCGATAAGTATGACCAACTTCATCACACGCCCAGCAACGAACATCACGGCCACGACCACGTCCTTGCCCTTGTCCTTGGACTCGAGTAGCAGCAGCATCAACCTCCATTGGAATAGGACTATCACTCATAGGAAGTGGAGCTGAAGGATGTGCAGCGAGAAGCGGAAGAGGCGACGTCTCATAACGTTGTGTCAAGCGAAGAGCATCGTCAAGGGTGGCAGGAGCAAGTGCATGCACAAGGCCAACAAAATCTTGACGAAGTGCTGGCCACAACATTCCTAGCTTGATCCGCTCCGACATATTAGGCTCCGCACGAAGCAAAAGACTTCGGAAACGAACGCCAAATTGCATCACCGACTCAGATGGTCCTTGGCGAAGACGATGCAATTGTTGGAAGGCATCATCACAATCGTCGGCATGTCCGAAGGCGCGTTTGAAGACGTCCAGAAGAACACTCCAATCCCCACGAGTGGCCGCACTCAATCCATTGTACCACTGCAAACCATCCCTTGGAGACACGTGGGAAACTCACGCAAACATCGAGCATCATCCCAAGAATGATATGTGGCAATCACCGTGAAGTGATAGAACCAATGGTACACATCATCCCCAGGATTCCCACAAAAGAACTCCGGCCGAACGCGAGGATTAGCACCAAGAGCAGGAAGAGTTGGACCACGTGCTGTGAATGCCGCCATCAATTGAGTTTGGTTGTTCAATTGCAAGTGCATAGCATCAAACAAGTGAACCAACTGCTGCTCTAGAGTCAAAGGAGGAGATTGCGGATCGGCTATGAAGATGAACGAAAAAGAAAAAGCAAAAGAAGAGAAATGACAAAAAGCTGGAAAGAAATGGTAGATCTAGACAATGCAAAAAGCTAGATCTAAACCAAAATCCTGAAAGGAAAGAACAAAAGAAAGGAAATGGAAAAAACTAGATCTAGACGATGCAAAAGCTAGATGTAAATCAAAATCCCAAATCCGAGCACTCCCCAGGGACAATCAAAGGTGCCCTTTATCTCCACCAATGTAAGTGCATGGAATATGGAACAGGAATACAAAAATGTGCATATCCATTAACCCAAAAACCCTAGTTTATATACAAGAGCAAGTGGTCCGGATTGAAACCAATCCGACGGCTACCAAAATCCCACTATGCTAATATTAGTATACAGCATCGTAGCCGTACACTTGGCTCTCACATATGCATAATATTTTTGCAAAAAACTCAAAGAAAAAAGAGTATATCTAAATATATGTAAATATATAATGCTCTCATATACAATCATATATTTGTTATGGATTAGAGGGAATAATCTAATCCCAAAATATTCCAGAGCCTTGTCCAAATTGTGTACTTTCTTAGTCGTTTTTTCTTGGTTTGAAGTTTAAGACTTTGGCACCTGATTTCTCACGTTCTAAAGCACTATTTCTCTTGTTAATTTGCAAGATAGATCTTGTTTCTTGTTTTGAGATTTTATTTATATCACTCTGTCAGAAGAAAGCTTTAGCATGATTTCTTATTCTCCGTCGTTTAAGCTAAGATCCAGTTTCCAAGCTGCAGCAAATACCGGTACCCTTTCACATAGGGTTCTTGAGCAATCGCAGGGACGCGATTCCACTGGCGAGCAGCGCCGCCGCTGCAATCTTGCCGCCATTTTCAGTGCCGAACTCGGCGACATTGATCCTGGCGTCGATCCAGTTGTAGAGCGCGAGGTATGAATCATGGCCGAGGAGTGTGTAGAGAAATCGCGCTGGGGAGAGGATAGCCTGGTATGCCGCTGGGAGGTAAGCAGTGAGGCCGAGCGCGTCAAACAGGGCATCCAGGAACCAGTCGCTGTGGACCGAGGCGGCGACTCCGTTGACGACGATAGTTCCTTGGAGAGTCAATGGATTATAGAGGCCGGGCTTTGTAACGATCGAGATTCGTGTGACTGGGAATGGAGTCATGATCGAATTGTTGGTGGGCGATGAAGCGGTCAACACATCTCCGACAAGAACGTCTTGCGCACGCTTGAATTTGACTCCACCTAGAAATGGTTCGTAAGCTTGGTGGAAAAAAAAGTTTTGGAAGGAAAAGATGACACACACCAGCTTTGAGCAGCGTTGGCACGAAATGCAGGCGCGAGAGCTCAAGGGTCTTTGAGTGGGATAGTTCCAGGTTGACGAAGTCACTCTTCTGCCCCAAGTCTCGGTGGCCGAAAGCATAGATTTCACTGAACTCGAGCCTCCCGTTCTTGAGCGTCCCAACCTTCACGACACGAGCAGAGGAAAACGGTTTAGTGGAAGCGATGGATGATCAGGATAGATACCTTGTCACCGATTTGGAGCTGGCTCATCGTCTTTGTCTCGCCCGTGGAAGTTTGCACCGTTGCATCTCCAGGGAAGCACGCACTCACGCAGCCAGCAGCCGCGCCAAGCTGAGCACTCACTCCCAAAACGCCAGCGATGCAGAAAGGTGCCAATGGTCCCAGTCCCAAGCAACCTCCAGTTCCCAACACTCCCGTGATTGCACCTCCGATTGCTCCTGCAAAAAAGAAGGAACGAGCTAACATATGGATCACCCCGAGGTACCTTTCCCTGCTTCTTCTTTGCAGTCACCAAGCAAGAATCTTCGAGCTGCCTGATGATCGCCAGAAGAGTTTGTGAACAGTAGTTGCTGCTCGAGTTCCAAGCGTTTCTTGTAGAGGCTTTCCACGTCACTGCCGGTCATGTACACACCACAGCCAGTTCCTCCAGCGTTGCTTGGGCAAACAATCTGGTAAGCATCCAGTGATTTATGTTGCTGCAAAATGATCACTCAACTTACAGCACTCTTGCGGCCATAGTTGTCTGTGAACACGAACTGCGTTCCGGATGAATCTGGAGCGGCACCACAGCCACCGGTTGCGACCACCTAGAGATAGCATCCAGTCGTCAGCAAGAGAAAGATTAACGTAACAAAGGTACTTGTCTAGACTCTACCTTTAACGTGAGGGTCTCGGATCCTCCCCAGTCGCCATCTATCTTTGCAGTGTATTCCTGTCTTCCAGTCTGGACAATCTTCTGGCAGATGGTGGTGATTGCACTCGCGGGAACCGAGCCCCAAAGCATTGCGGGAGTCTTTGATGCGAGAAGAGACGACGCGATCTGATCGCCAGTGGTTCCAATGAAGGTGTTTGGCTTGCCTTTGGTGAGGCTGGGAGTCGTGGCTGTGAAACTCAAATCTTGCGCATTGCAAACGCTGGAGATCACAGCAAGAACAAGAAAAAACGCGACGAGACTCTTCATTCTCTCTCCTCTATAAACTTCTTTTTCCAACTCTGAACTTCTATGCTTGCTTGCAATCCTTATAAATGCTGCAAGTCCAAAGTTCTAAGAAGAGAGATTTTTTCATGACCAACCACACTGCAACACCTGAAAGAGCTAAGAATATTACAAAACAAAAAGAATCTGTAGCTCTTGCTTATCTGTACCAGAGATGAGAGAAGGCCTTTAAATCGATTGATCTTGTCCGTTTAAAGTGGAGGTATTGATGTCACCTACGGCAAGAAAAATTTAAGGTTCCTTCAGGGGCAGGGAATCAAATCTAGACACAAGGTTGATAGTGTCATGCATTGCTGGAAAGTAGATGTTTCCATTGATTAATCTAATCTCCTTGTCCCGTATATGAAGAATATTCTGGGATCTAGAATAATAGACTTGTGTCGTGGTCAAGACGCCAAAACTTTCGCTGCATGCTGTGTGACAAAAACTTTGCGTTAGTTTTGTGCTGAGCAGGGAGTGGATTACTTGAAGTATGACAATTGTCACACCGATGGAATCTCACCGAGAATCCGGTAAGAAAACTGGAAGAATCGCTCGGGTAGAACAAACCCTTAGAGTTGCCGACCAGAACCACGACGTTGTTATTGTTGCAAAGGTTGCGAAGAGCTCCGGTCAAGAGCCCCAGCACGCCGGTTGGAATTGCTCCCACAGGCTTGGAACCATACCCTCGGTGGAAAAAATCTTGGCCCCAACGTGGTTGACAGTGGTGGTCACTGCAAATATCGCTTTTGCTGCAGCACTGTGAGCGACTGTGGATCCATTCTTGAGCAACGCGAGCAAAGGCGGAACGCATCCCCCGAACTTTCATTCTCTGCTCCTCCTCCTTGCACAGAAGGGCCATGACCGCCGCTACGTTGATCTTAGAACTGGTGGTACCTGTTCTCAGCAAATTCACCAGCAGTGGTATCGCTTACGTGTGAGATGTGATCGCCTTCTTGGCATTTTGATCTCGCTCCTCCATGAGTACCAAGAGCTGCTTGCAGGCATTCTCTTTCTCCTGGGGGCTGAAGCTTGCTCCTCTCAGCTGCTCGATGCACAGTGCTACACTGGCCAGGACACCGTCCGGGTCCTCCATAGCCGAGTCCCTGGAAGGAAAACAAAGAAAAACCATCAATGTGGACAAGACTCCACCAAGTAGAGCTCAGATCTAAGCTTACCTCACAGCTCTGGTGCTCGTGACGGACCGTGGAGTCGCAGGCTCAACATGGTTCTTGAGAGACTTTGAAATTTGCTGCAAGGCTGGGCGAACAAGCGGCTCGTGCTCCTTGGACACCATTCTGGAGCACGAGGGTCAGCTCGGCCGAGAGTGGATGCGAAAAACCGAGAATGCAGGCACAGATCCTAGCTACAAACCCACCTGGAGTTGGATCCGAGCGATCAACCATGCAGCGCCAATGGATCTGGAGCTGTGCTGGATGCAACGATGAACCTGCTGGGTGGCGGCCTGAGAATTCGTGTTTTCCTCCACGGCAAGAGAGTCCCTGACGAGGAAGCCACACTGGCTCAAGTCGGGCTTTCGGCTCAGGCTGGAAAGAGCGGCTCTCTGGGATTTATGTTGGAGCCAGCATCCTCTTCCAACTCCGAGGATGCTCTTCGAGAAGGCGATAATCAAATTGCCATTCAAAAATATAAAAAAAATAGCTTGTCTTCCCTATCACTTGCATTATTAATTAATTGTGTGTAATGAATAGTAGTAAATTTCTAGATAAAGTTAACCATGTAGATAATCAAAATTCCTAACATTGCTATCTATTTGAAAATTTACTGCAGATCCCCTGAAAAATTATTTGCATTTTTCACATCCACAAATAAAATATTCTAGATTATTCTAGTTGAAGGGTGAGTAAAGGTAATTTTGTAATTTTGTAGGGTCAGAAGGAGAGTGGAGAACTCCTGGCAATCTCTTCAACCATTCTATTCCCTGCGTCCAGGATGTGTGAGATTGTGGCACAGCTCCAGGCAGTGGTTTTTAGATGTTGGAGCCGAAATCTAAGGTGTGATAAGTGCCTTGAATCATAGAGATTAAGGACCAAATTCAATGGCAAATTTCAGGAGAAAATTCTGGATGTAACTAATATATAGTTAGTGTTTCTTTCTTCTTTCATAAAAAAAAACAGTTGTTTCTAGTTTCCTTCTGAAAAGATCCTATTCATTCTTTGCCTTCATTCTAGCATTCTAGCTCTTTGTTATGGTATTGAAGCAAAATCAAAAGGATGGAAATGCTGCCACTGTCACTTTCTCAAATGGCCATTCCATTTCCATTTTTGGAAAAGCATGTAAAAGGGAGTCATGTAGCTTTACTGTCAATGTGTATGTTAAGTTGGGCTTTGTGAGTCAAAAAATGGTGGTCTGGAAACTTCTCAAGCTGGAGGTGCCAGATGGAGCTCATCCTCAAAGGTGAGGGAGTTTGGGGCATTGTCAACAGTGACAAGCTGAAGCCAAAAGCTAATGCAAGCTATCAGAAGGTGGATACCTTGAGTCGGCGTGAGGACAAAGGCATGGCAACAATCAGACTTGTGGTGACAGAGAGTGTGCTGCCCTTAGTGAGAATTACACTAGCAGCGAGCTGTGGAAGAAGTTGTGCGAGAAGCACAAGTAGCAAACGCATGTCCAGATTGGCCATCTCTACATAAAGATGGTCAACATGAGGTGGACAGAGTCAAAAGCTTTGACTAGTTCGTGGATAACAGGAAAAACATATATTGGCAAATCAAGGAGTTAGATAAGGAAAACAAGTTTTCTCTTCTTCAGAATTATTTTTTTCTTCATGCTCTTCTTAATTCCTTCCATTCTCTTTGAAATAATGATGTAAGTTGACAAACTTTAACTTAGTTGTGCCATATTTGCCATCAAGGAGGAAATCATCATGTAGAAGGATGTTAGAATTCTTCACTTCAAATCTGATTAGGCTTTATTCGCTAGAAGCTCTTCTAAGCAATTTGTGAAGAAGAAGAACAACAATAAAATTTCAAAGGATGGAGGTTTTTCTAAGGCAAATGAGAGCAATGTGAAGTCTAACAAGGACTCTAAGAAGAAGAAATTTTGATATTATTGTAACAAGTCTAACCATGAAGAAATTGAATGCAAGTTGAAGATGAAACACCTTCAACAATAGCTAGAAGATTTCAAATCTTTAAAATCTATAGCTCACTATGGACAGCTTTTGGATGAAGTTTGTGTTGCTAAGGTCAAAATTGAGTTTTGCAACAATGCCATGGTAACTAACTCTTTTGTGATTGATTCTGGAGCTACTACTCATCTATCTTGGCACAAAGATCATTTTGTCAAATATAAAAATTGTCTTGGCCAGCATGCTATGCAGTTAGGAGACAATAGTGAGCATGGTGTTCATGGCATTAGTGACATCAATGTTCAGACATCTCATTGGAACTTAACTCTGACTGGGGTAATATATGTTCCTACCCTTCACAAAGATTTGCTTTCTGTTGCTAAGATTGTTGGGAACAATCTGTGTTTTGATCATCAAGTTTGTGTTATTTAAAATGCACAAACTCATGATATGGTTGCTATAGCTCCTAGGAAAGGAAATCTATGGCAACTCAAGGACAAAGAGTCCACCAGCTCTTTGATTTTTGCCTCTATTGGTAAAGGCATATGTGATCTATGGCATAAATGACTTGGCGATTACATATTGTCTGGGATTTCCACCTTAAGGAACATGGTAAATGGTTTAGATGTATCTAACAAATTAACTTTTGCTCCATATGAAGCATGTGCATTTGGAAAGCATCATCATTACCCTTTTAAAATGATTGGAAGTCGAGTAAGTAATTTGCTTGAACTTGTCCATATTGATGTTTGTGGTCCAGTACAAGTTCCATCTTTCAAGAAGGCTAAGTATTTCTTGATTTTCATAGATGATCTTAGTCACAAAACTTGGGTTTATTTTCTGAAGAAGAAATTTGAGGTCTTGGATTGCTTTGTAAATTGGAAAGCCTTGGTTGAAAACCAAATTGGTTGTCAAATCAATAAGCTATACATGGATAATGGTGATGAATTTGTGAATAATGCTTTAATAGCATTTGTTCCCAAGCCAGAATCTAGCCAGCTCACCGAACCATATATGGCTCAACATAATGGGGTGGCAGAATGTAAGAATCACACTATTGTGAATACAACACAATACCTTCTTGCTCAATCTCACGCTCCACCACATTTTGGGTAGAGGCAATTAGGTATGCTATTTTTCTCCTTAACCATTGCCCTATTGTGCTCTAGAAGAGTGCTTTAAACCTAATGTGGCACATGTATAGATTTTTGGATGCACAATATATTGGCATGTTCCACAAGAGATATGCACCAAGTTTGATCTAACTGGGGAAAAACTCATGTTTGTTGGCATGTCTAATTTTAATTCTCATGCTTACAAATTGATGGATCTTATAACAACCATGGTTCACATTTGCAAGCAGAAAGAAGTGGTACTTTTTGAGAAAACCCCTTTTTTTTGTTTTATTCTTGATTTCAACTTTGTGAATTTTCCAAATTCTTGATTTTGGAATGATGTTATTCTTGATGTTGATTTTTGGAATGATGCTCAACACGAAGAAGCACTTAAGCAAAGAGGAACTGATCCAATCATCGAAGTCCCAGCTCAACTTTCTCCTCCAAGATTTGATACTGTTTTGACTCCAATGGCATCTCTAACATTCAATGAGGCTACTCTTGAGCCACTTGGATAAGAATTTTTCAAGTAGAAAGACACTTGAAAATGTTGAATGCTCCTATGCTATTACCTTTGATTTGTTGGAGTTTTATGTAGTCGCATGTACACTTGAGCCTTCCTCATTCATGGAAGCTATAGCTAGTTCAAATGCAAGCCATTGGAAGTGAGCAATGAACCAAGAAATTAAGTCCATCATTCGTATGCACACTTTTGATGAAATGGTTCTTCTAGTTGGAATTACAACTCTTGATAGTCAATGGGTCTACAAAATGAAGCTCAACCCTGATAATTTCATCAACTATCACAAAGCTCAATTTGTTGCACAAGGCTACAAACGATAATATGGTATGGATTATCTCAAGACATATTCTCCAGTGGTAAAGATGACAAGTGTTCTAATTTTGCTTGCTTTTGCAACTTATTTTGATCTTGAGAT